TTAACACATCCTTTAAATCTGGAATTTTGATGATAGTAAATTTGCTTACCAGATCTTTCTTCAAGCATAATATGTATTAAATTGCCTCCCTTTGTTCTGTCTTTATCATGAATTAGTCTCTTTGGGTTTTTTTTAAGGACAGTCCCTGGGTTGCAAACTTCTTCTGCTCTGGAGTGTGTTCGCAAGTCAATTTGTACGCAAGTTGGAAACACAATGCAGGACAATATAAAGTAAGTTTAGGAAATGTTCGTATGTTGGGTCTTTAAAATTATACCACTATATGACATCGCGTTCCTAAGTCCAAGCATTCATAAGTCATACGTTCATAAATTGGGGACCCAGTAAACTTTAAATCACATATTAATAGAATATAAAACCTTTTATTCTCTGAAAGTTGTTAAAGTGTTACAATAAATTGAGTTATTTTCTGTTGATGATGAAAGGTGGTATGAATTGCTTTTATGCTAATTGATCATCTTGGTGATGTCATTTGGATTTTATACCTTTCGTGACAGCTTGTGGAACAGTGAGGCAAGATTACTGACACATTCTTTCCAAGCTAACAAGTTAAATCCAACACAGAGCTCTCTTTCATTGACAGCGGTTGCTTTCAAAGTTGATTTCTGATTTCTGCTGCTTCTGAGTCAGATTTAAATATTCAGACATTGCTACAACTTCTACTTTCTTCCACTTTCAGACAATTTAACTAAAGTGTTAAGCTCCTACCATTTATTCATCAGTGAAATAAGTCAAACTGCTACCCCCAAGGAACACAGAATATATATGTATGTTCTCAAAAGTAATGAAGTCATAAAACAACTATGTGCTTCTGATTTTCTGCTTGGTGACAGCATGACCTTATTTGAGCAGTGGATGAGAGAAGCGAGATTCTATTGCCCAAGATCAAACAATAAATATTCAATGTATCAGGAGTGACGTACAAATTGCAAAGCTAAAGTTGGAAAAATCAGGCATGATCATTATGTGCTAATGATGTGATAACACAAGATGGCAGCACCACTACAACTGGTGAAAAAATATCCCATTTATCACTCATTATTTTGATTCCATGAAAAACTTAAGAGACTACTGTTTAATTTCACAAATAGGGTCAAATTATGTTTCCAAACCTGATTTCTAGTATAGCAAATAATCAGGAAAGTTACAGTAGAATAAGGCTTTCAGCTTTGATGGGCCCGCACCAAAAGTACTGTATATAGTTTTAGTATCATTACTTAAGAAAAGATGTACAAAGAAGGCCTCTGCATAGGTTCCTGATATGAGGAGAGTTTTAATAAAATGTTTCTGTATTTATCAAGTTTTGTAAGAATGACAGGTGAACTCATGGAAACAGACAAGATTCTGAGCAGATAAAATAAGCAAAGAACTGCAGATGCTGGATATTTGAAACAAAAACTGAAATTACCAGAGAAACTCAGCAGGTCTGGCAGCATTTGTGGAGGGAAAGCAGTGTAAACATTTCTGGTCCAGTGGCCCTTCTTTAGAACTAAGATTCAGAGCAGCCTTGACCACCTAAATGCTGCAAGGTCTTTACCATGGCAGGGAGGTCTGGAACGAGAGACTACTGCAAGAACCAAAGTGAAGAGACATTTTCACATTTTCAAAGTTATGAGTGTTTGGAATTCTCTTGTGCAGTGGGTTGCAGTTGCCTAATCAATGAATGTATGCAAGACTAAGACTGAAATATCATTGGCGACTAAGGCATGAAAGTGAAGGGTCACTGGATCTGAAACATTAATCCTGCTTTGTCTCCACAGAAACTGCCAGACCTGCTAAGCTTTTCTTTCCAGCAATTCTGTTTTTGTTTGTTGTTGAAGGCAGTAAAGTGGTTTGGAAATTGGGCGGACTTGATGTAAAAGTTCAGGCTTCATCTCAATCTGATTGATTGGATGACAGAGTAGGCTCGATAAGTTGCTTGGATTACTTCTGCTCCTATTTTTCACAAACAATAATGACAAAATTGATCAATAACTACCTGTATTAGTGTATCCTCCTTGTTGAATATTTGTATAGTTGTTCATATGTGATGGAAGCACATGAAGGTATTTCTCTATATCAATGGTGTATATTAGTGCAAATAAATGGAGAACTGCTACATGCGGCAAAAAGGGAGAGTGGCTATGTATGTTGCACAGCAGATCCAGAATGCCAATAGTATGTCAAACAAATTTTTGAACTTAGAAATCAGATTTGAATCTAATTTTAGAAGGGAAATTTCAGAAATACAATCAAGCTGAACCCCAAAATAACAATGCTTAACAATTCAATGGTCATTTCCTAGAATTGTTGCAAGATTAAAAAAATGTTGTTCCAAATACCGCTACTTACATTTTCCTTCAACCACTTGTCATAGTTTAAATGAACTTACATGATGAAATGCACCCGTATGCAGAACCTTAACTTCCCATTCATAATTGCAGCAGTGTATAATTCAAGTTTGATAGTATAAAACTTGAATATTTATTGATAGATACTAACTTATTGAGAGATATTAACTCTGGCTTCACTCAGAAATAACCAGCTCCCAAAATGTAGAAAAACTGAACCAGATTCAATGTTCCAGAATAAAGCATTTTTATTCCTGCAAGGAATTCATGAACAGATGTGGCGTGGTAGTACTCGAAACATAAATTCCCTCTTTACAATGGAACCATTGAAGATTGATTTTTCCAGAAAAGAGACATGAAATATGGCTGTTTCTTTTCCTTAAACCACCCTTATCAAGCTTAATTTTTTTAATATTAATTTGTGGGATGTGGGCATCGCTGGTTGGCCAACATTTCTTGCCCATCCCTAGTTCCATTTGTGAAGGTGGTGGTGAGCTGCCTTCATGAACCAGTGCAGTCATCTGCTGTGGGTTTTCCCACAATGCCATTAAGGAGGGAATTCCAGTATTTTGACCCAGCAGCAGTGAAGGAACGGCGATATGTTTCCAAATCAGGATGGTGAGTGGCTTGGAGGTGAACTTGAAGGAGGTAGCGTTCCCATATGCCTGCTGCCCTTGTCCTTCTAGGCCGAAGTGGTCATGGATTTGCACGGTGCTATTTAAGGATCTTTGGTGAATTTCTGCAGTGCATCTTGTAGATAATACACACTGCTGCTACTGAGCATCGATGGTGGAGGGAGTGGATGCTTATGGATGTAGTGCCAATCAAGCGGGCTGTTTTGTCCTGGATGGTGTCAAGCTTCTTGAGTGCTGCTGGGGCTGTACTCATCCAGGCAACTGGGGAGTATTCCATCACACTCCTCACTTGTGTATTGTAGATGGTGAATTATTTGCCGCAGTATTTCTAGTCTCTGATCTGACCATTGAATGTCATGGGGTGGTGTCAAGATTGTCTCATATTGGTGATAGTCATAGCCTGGCATTTGTGTGGTGCGAATGTTACTTGCCACTTGTCAGCCCAAGCCTGGATATTGTCCAGATCTTGTTGCATTTGAACACGGACTGCTTCAGTATCTGAGAAGTTGCTGAAGTGCAATCATCAGCGAACATCCCTACTTCTGACATTATGATGGAGGGAAGGCCATTGATGAAGCAGCTAAAGATGGTTGGGCCGAGGACACTACCCGGAGGAACTCCTGCAGAGATGTCTTAGAGCTGAGATGATTGGCTTCCAACAACCACAACCATCTTCCTTTGTGTCAGATATGACTCCAACCACCGGAGAGTTTGCCCCCTGATACCCACTGATTCCAGTTTTGCTAGGGCTCCTTGATGCCACACTCGGTCGAATGCAGCCTTGATCTCAAGGGCTGTCACTCTCACCTTACCTCTGGAATTCATCTCCTTTGTCCATGTTTGAACCAAGCCTGTAATGAGGTTAGGAGCCGAGTGGCCCTAGCAGAACCCAAACTGGGCATCACTGAGCAGGTGAATATAATGCTCCCAATTATGTATTATTATTCATGTTCCTCACAGATAACAAAACCCAAAATTCAGGTTTCCCTCAAATGAAGAAGACTTCTGTTGTCTCTAAGTGAGTTTGTTTTGAACACTTTATCACTTTTATTTCCCCTCCAGACTCCAAGTTGTCCTCACAGCTGAGTAAATCCTGTGTTAATATGACAGCATAATCTCTATAAATCAAGTACATTGTAAAGAATATCTTGTTCATCCCACATATATATTTCGTTTTATTTATCATCTGCAATACATTTCAAGTTTTAACTTCCTGAACTGCTTGGCAACTTTATACTTTGGTTTTTTTTTCAATGAAATTAGTCAATTATTGAAATGGAAGTTTAAGCTGAATAACAGTGATAATGATTTACTGCGCAGTAAATTAGCAAATCATCAATAGAATCAATTAATATGAAATGGCAAAAGACCTACTTTATAAAATCTGTAGGTAAACAATTTTAACATACTTCATTGATTATACAGCAGATTCTATTCACTGTTCCCAGTACAAGGCCATGAATTGAAATATGTGAACATGGTATAAATTATTTGCTTTTACTCCAAGAACACTGTTTGTCGAGAAAATATATGCAAACAATTCAAGCTCCTGGACCTCACTTCTTCACAACACAACTACATAAAGACAGACTTCCAGGCAATTAAGAAATGAAGGAGGAGGAGATCACAATTCTTTTGACACAAACACCTATAAACCCCAAGCAATAACCAGCTAATCTGCAGAAGTACTTTTTAATGTTTGCTTCAGTTCAAATGAATAATAGAATGAACATGCATTTTGGCTAGAGAACAATTCATTATACAAAGCCCTCTTCAATGAATCAAGACAAAAATCTTGATACATTATTGCAAAAATTAAAACTACAGCTGAGTGGAACATGCACAGTAATAAAATCTGTCATAACTACAAGCAATTTTACCGAAGAATATGTTATTTTTCAAGAAAAGATATTGTGTCAAAATATTGACCATCAGTTAAAAGATAAGATTGTAACCAGGAAAATAATAAATTTAGTTGCTGAAATGTTAGTGTGGCAATCTTGAAATATTGACATACCAGTTTGTTCTCTTGCATGTAGATTCTCTGCAGCCTTGGACAGCCCTGTGCCAATGCCATCATGCCTTCATCTGTTATCTTGTAACATTGACCAAAATGGATATCCAAAACGTCTGGACATTTCTCTCCCAGCTGTAACAAAAAAGTATGGAAATTGTTTTTTCTTCTTAGTACCTCACATCATAAATTCACTTTCTCCCTGACTCACTCTCCACCTTGAACAATCTACTTAAAAAACATCTCATTGACCAAATTCTAGATAAGTTTTCATGTTGATCCAGTTCCATTTTGTCCAATCACATGAACACAAAGCATCCCAGAATATTTTTCTTGCATTTATGTATTATTCATAGATACTATAATTTATATAAGTTGTTCTTGAAAAAAGTAATATTAAACAATAGTAAATAACATTTAAAATATGTTAATGTATTTAATTGACACTTTCAAAAGAATGAATATCATCAAGCAGCATTGCTACTGTCTTAAAATTACCCGATAAGAACCAGAAAAATATGATATTTTGGGACTGAATCAAAGAGCATTCTTTATTTCAAGGGAATTTACCTGAAGGATTTCTGATCTTTCCAAATGATAATACATTTGCCTGGTCTATTTGTTCTTTCTAATTCAGAACATAACATATGTTCAAATTAAGTTATCAAGTCCTTATGATTCTGGAATTACATGACTTGGTGAATCCAGTATGTTAACGGTAACCAAGGGCACGAAATGCAAGCAGTAATGCCTGACCACTACCAGGGTTTGGGGTATTTGCTCAGGGCCGAAAATGAACTTGGCAGTGGTAGGGGGAGTATCTAGAGGTCACAGTCCATGTAGGACTGACAACGTAAGCTGAATGCAAAAAGAGGTTCTGCATAGAAATGTGAGGAGCTAGGTATTAAATTGAAAACCAAAACCTCAAAACCTGTAATATCTGGATTGCTCTGGTATTATCACTGGACTATTAATCCAGAGACCCAGATAAAAATTCTGGGGATCTGCTCAAAGGAAAACCGCAATGCTTTTTATAAGTATATTAAGCATAAGAGGATTACCAGGGAAAGAGTGGGACCTGTTAGAGATCCAAGAGGCAATCTGTGCATAGAATGGCTGAGGTCTTAAATGAATACTTCTCATCTGTATGCACAGAGAAGAAAGACATTGCAGCTGGAGATGTCACTTGGGATGGTGAAGTTCCAGAATATGTTAAGATTAATAAAGAAGAGATATTAGATGTTTTAGCAGGCATAAAGGTGCATAAATCCCCACATCCTGATGAGATGTATTCCAGGCTGCTACGCAAGAAAGGGAGGAGATTGCTGGAGTCCGGCAGAGGTGTTTAAGACTTCACTGGCCACGGGTGTGGCGCCACATAATGAGAGGATAGCTAATGTAATTCCATTGCTCAAGAAGGGCAGCAGGGATAGGCCAGGTAATTTAAGGTTTTAACAAAGATTCATAGCTCAGGTTGTGGGTGAGGTTGTTGACTTGCTCGCCGAGCTGGGTTGTTTTTGTTCAAACGTTTCGTCACCATGCTGGGTAACATCATCAGTGAGGCCTCCAATGAAGCGATTTTGTTCTAGTCCACTTGGAATTTATACTGTCCAGTTCATTATGGTGAGGAGTGTCATTTCTGGTTTTGTTCTGTACGGGTTTGTATATGGGGTCCAATTCTGTATGTTTGTTGATTGCATTATGAGTTGAGAACCATGCCTCTAGAATTCCCGTGTATGTCTATGTTTGGCTTGGGCTATGGTTACGTTCTCCCAGTTAAATTGATGGTCTTCACTGTCCGAGTGTACTGATATTAAGGAAAGTTTGTTGTGTTGTTTTGCTGCTAGAACAACATCACTTCATCAGAGGCCTCACTGATGATGTTATCTAGCATAGCGACAAAACGTCTGAACAAAAATAAGCCAGCTCGGCGAGCATGTCAACAACACAGGGCCAGCTAATTACAGACCAGTTAGTCTTATGTCAATGATAGGGAAATTATTGGAAAAAATTCTGAGAAGCAGCATTAATCAATACTTGGAAGGACAGGGATTGATGAGGGACAGTCAGTACCAGGAAGATCCTGTCTTAAAAACCGATCTGATTTTTTTGAAAAGATGACTAAATATAATGATCAGGGTAGCACAATTGACATGGCTCACATCAAACCTCAAAGAGGCCTTTGACAAGGTCTCACATGGAAGGCTCATTCAAAAGCTGAGACACCATGGGATCGAAGGCAAGTTGAAAAACTTGATCCAAAATTGGTCTTCAAATAGGAGGTAAAGGGTAATGGTGGAGGTTTGTCTTTGTGTTTGGAAGCCTGTGACCAATGGTGTACCACAAGGTTTGGTGCTGGGACCCTTGAAGTTTGCTTTGCACATTAACGGCTTACATGTGAATATAGATGGTTTAATTAGTGCGCCTGCAGATGAATTGGTACTGTTGTTGATACTGAGGAGGATGTCTCAGGCTGCAGTTTGATATTGTTCAGTTAGTAAACTGGGCAGAATAATGGCAGATGTAATTTAATTCTGACAAGTGAGAGATGATGCATTTTGGCAGGTGCAATAAGTGAAGATTATGCACAATGGATGACAGGTACCCAAGGAGCACTGAGGAACAAAGGAACCTTGGTGTCAGCACAGGAAGACAAGGTGGTGAAGAAGGCATACAGGATAGTTGCCTTCATTAGCCAGAACACAGAGTGTAGGAGCAAGGAACTCTTGTTACAATTTTATAAAGGATTGGTTAGGTCACAGATGGAAAACAGTGTGCACGTCTGGCCACCACATTCTCAAAAGGAAATGATTGCACAGGTGAGAGTGCACAGGATCCTCTCCTCTATCCATCTTCTATCCGCCTCCCACTCTCTCCCTATTTGTTTCAGAACCCCCTTCCCCTCCCCCTTTTCTGATGAAGGGTCTAGGCCCGAAACGTCAGCCTTTCTGCTCCTATGATGCTGCTTGGCCTGCTGTGTTCATCCAGCCCTGCACCTTGTTGTCTCAGATTCACCAGGATGTTGCCTGGGATGAAAGTCTCAGTTATGTGCAGAGACTGGATAGGCATGGTTTGTTTTCCTTGGAGCAGAACAGGCTGAGTGGGGAAAATAATTGAGTTGTACAAAATTACAAAAGGCCACAGACAGAGTGGATCATGAAAATCTTTTCCCCATGATAGACGTGTCTAATACCAGATGGAATAACTTTAAAGGTAAGGAATAAGTGGTTTAGAGGAGATCTGAGTAAGAACTTTTTCACCCAGAGAGTGTTAGATATATGCAAGGTGCTGCCTGGGAGGGTGATGGCGGCAGACACTCTTGCAACATTTGTAAAGCATCTGGACTAGCACTTAAAATGCCAGGGCATCACAGGCTATGGACAAAGTGCAGGTAAACAGGATTGGTGTAGCTTGATGTTTATGGGTCAGCAAAGCTATTGTGAGCCAAAGGGCCTGTTTTTGTGCTGTACAACTCCATGATTCTAAGAAGGAAGCTAAGCACCTCCTTTTTAGAGATAACTGAGAATGGACAATAAATGCTGGCCCAGCTAGCAATGCCCACATCTGATAAATATATGAGAGTAAATTTTAAAAAATAATCATGGATGATTTGAATTAACATCTAAACTGCAAAACATCAGAATGGCAGTAACAACCTGGGTAAGAAGTTCACAAAATGCTTTTGAAACAGTTTCTCAGAACTGACCAGAAAGCAGATTATACTAGACTTGATATTATGTAATGTGACAGGATGAATTAATGACCTCAGAGTAAAGGTATCCAGTAGTGGCAATGACCACGATATAATTGAATTTTACGGCAGTTTGAAAGGGGAAAGATTGGTGCTAAGACCAGTATTTTAAATAAGAACAACTACATTGGCATGAAAGTTCACCTTGCTGAAGTGAACAGGCACACTAGGCTAGGGGAAAATCAACAGAAACACCCAACAGACATTTGAGGAGATATTTCAGAATAAACATATTCCTTGAACAAAGAAATATTCTGAAGGGAGGACCGACCATGCATGGTTAACACAAGAAGTTAGGGAGAGCATTAAACTCTTTCTGCACAAAGATAAGTGGCAGATCAGACGACTAGGTAGAATATAAAGAATTCCAGAAAATGACTGAATGGTTAAGCAGGAGGAAAAAGGTTAGATTTTGAGAGGAGGGTTAAAAACCAAAAGCAGTAAGTAGCTGAGAGTAAATAACATGATTGCTGGTCCTCTAGAGAATAAGAATGTGGAGTTAATATAATTAATAAGAAAATGGTGGCTAAAATGAACAAATATTTTGCTTCTATTTTCACCATATCAGGAAGGGGACAGGGCCCACTTGTGGTGCAGTGGTAGTGTTGCTACCCCAGAGCAGGAGACATGTGTTCAAGTCCTACCTACTCCAGAGGATTTTAATAGGTTGATTAGAAAAAACAGGTTGTATTAAAGAATAAACAGGAAGAGTACTTAACAATATTACAATCATGCGAGTTGTAGACTGACAAGTCTCAGGGCCCAGATGAAATTCATCCTCTGGTCTCATACAGTCAGACTCGTACAACATGGAAACAGACCCGTTGGCCAATTCATCTATACCTACTGGGTTTCTGAAACTGAACTACTCCCATATGCCTGCATTTGGTCCATCTCCCCATAAGGTTTTCTGGTCTATATCCTGTCTAAATATCTTTAGAATGTTATAATTGTATGCCTCTCTAAAACATTCTCTGGCAGCTCATTCTACCTGTGCATGACGCTCAGGCCCTTTTAAATCTCTCCCCCCTCACCTTAAACCTGTGCCATATAGCTTTGGACTATCCTACACTGGGAGAAAGGCCTTGGCTATTCACCTTGTCTTATCACCACCCTATTCTGCCCTCATGATTTTATAAACCTTATAAGGTCACCCCTCAGCATCCTACACTCCAGGGAAAAATGTCACAGCTTATCTAGCCTCTCTTCACAAATCAAATCCTCCACTCTCGGTAACATGCTTCCAAATTTCTTTTGCACCCTTTCCAGTTTAATAACATCCTTCCTATAGCATGGTGACCAGAACTGTACACAGTACTCCAAATGTGACCTTACCAGTGTCTTGTTCAGCTGTAACATAACATCTCACCTCCTGTACTTAATG